TTATTTATTTTACAATTTCGCAATTTTATTTATTTTTTTAAAATAATTTTTAGGGTTAACACTTTTTGTAACCGATTTTTAGGGTTAACACATACTTTTTGTAACCGTTGGAGAAACACTAAACTATTTCAGTTGCTGCTCATACAGTGACAGTACTAGGAAAATACAGTGATGTCATCAACAGTCACTGACAAATTCCAAACATTGCTGGTGTCTCCTGATCGACTGTGAAACAGAACGGTGACGTGGTTAAAAAAAAAAAAAAAACAACAAACAAACCGGATTTTCCGATTATGCAATCTAGAAGAATCTGAAATGTGACGAGTCGTTTACTTTTCTGAGTGTGTGAACTGATGTTGGTGAGCAGGAAGAACAACCACACTGGACCATCGTTGGTTCACGTTCTTGAATTTATTTATTTTTCTCAGTTGTTTAGAAAAACAACACCGTTGAGATGACCCACTGTTGCCCACCTACTCCTCTGTCAGCCAATCAGAGCCGTGTTTGGTTTTTCAGTAATCATGATGATATGCAAATGGAGGCGCATCTGACTTCATCGTCGGGCGAGTCATGTGACCCAAGCACAGGGGTCTAAGGGCACGCGGGGTGGGGAAGGCTCCGGCGCCACAGATGGGAGGAGGGTCTATCCCCACCTACACCCATCTGCTGTGCAAAGAGCAAACCTCTATTTGCATAATGGAAACAGACCGGTGGGTTTTCCGGTCCTTTTTCTCAGTCTGAACACAGTGACACCACCAGTCGGACACACTGGCCAGCAGGTGAGGTATCACCAGTTTCAGATGTCGGGAAAACCCACCAGAAATTATATATGTACAAATGAGCTAAATATAATTTAAATATAAATCCTAGAAATAAAATACAGAGGACAAAAAAAACAAAAAAACAATGACAGTAAAACAAGTCATTTTTCCTTTAGTGGAGACGATGGACTGAAAACATCCTTCCTACCAAACCTGTCTCCTCAGGTTTGTTTCTAAAACCCTACGCACGAGATACCGTTATTCTTGATGCAAGACAGAAAAAAAAAACAAAAAAACAAAACAAACATTAAACAGTTATTCCCAGACGTATGCATGTGTGTGTGCGTGTTTGTGTGTGACTTGCTGGAGTCCTGGTCCAAACACATCGGAAAGTCAACAAAAAAAAAGTAAAAAAAACCAAAAAAAAAAAACAAAAAAAAAACAAACCAACCACAGTCTCCCTGTTCGTCTACTTCAACGATTTAAATACTTGTAAATATACTGAATGCAGGTTAAATATAGAGCCCATTTACAGACGGTACACATTGGCTGGAATAAGAGTCACGTATGAGAAGCTCGTGGAGTCGTCGCACGACGCGGTTTTCCAGCTCTTCATCGCCGTCGCCTTCAAACACGCAGGTTATTTGTTATTTTTCTCCCAAAACAAACACTTAAAACGTTAACTGCAAGAATGGCCAGAGCAAGAGAAAACAAACAGAGAAAACCGTGCGTCAAGCTCTTTTGTTGCTGCATTTTTTATTTTTATTTTTTTACCCTCTTTTCTGCCTTTTTTTAATTGACAGAAGAATGCGAGTTTCGGTCCGTGCTGCTTCAGGCACTGAGACGAGAGCTCTCCTGTAAAACTGAATCACTGACAAGGCCACTGGTCCATTAAAAACATCCCAAAAACTCCTTCACTATCCTCTCACCGCTAGCTGTCCTACGTCTTCACCACAAGCGTCGATTCCGTTTCCACATCTTTTTGCTAGTATTTTTCTGGAAGTCCAAACTGTGCAAAACAAATCAATCCTGTGCAATAAGGCCTACTGCTGGACGAACAGACATGGAACCATGGAAACACAAAGTGACACAATAAAAACAAGACATGATTATAAAAATAATAATAATAATAATAACAATAAAATTATAACAATATCCATGATACGGCTACTGAAGCGTGGACGTGCACAGCTAAATGAAGGAGGAGAGACATTCTCCAGTCGGGGGAACGGTGGGGTCTGAGGAAACGCCATTCCTCCGTGACCTCCACCCTGGGCAGCAGAGCTGCACAGTATTTAAAAAAAAAACGACTTAAATCAGAAAACCAACTTTTGTAGTATGAACTACAAAATAATTCTGAGGAGGGGTCTGCGGTGATCCCAGTTTAAACAGAATTGATCTCCCATCTTTTTTTTTTTTTTGTAAAGTGTTTACTACGTTTTCAACACACTGTGCAGCCCTGCCATGGAGCCAGGCCAGTGTGTGTGAGGAATGTGTGGTCTCCTGAGGCCTCCAGCAGCCATCTGCCACTCCGCTGCAGCCAGCCTGATCTTTATCCTCAGCTCAGCGGCCCCCGCTGGCTCATCCCCTCGAAAAGGCTCCCAGTCGGGGGGAGACAAAGACAGGGAGGAGCAGTGGGAGCTCCGCACCGAGGCCCTTTGACCTGGTTCCCCGGCCCGACGGTGCAGTCGGTCCAGACAGACAGCACCGCGTCTCCTCCTCTTTTATCAGCCACCCAGACCCCGGGGGCTGAGGGAGAGACGGAGGTGGGGGAAGGAGAAGGACACTGTGGAGCAGGGGAGGGCAGTGGGGCAAATGAGCACAATGAGGAGACTGACACAGACTGCGCAGACCACCCCCCCCTCCCTCCCCCCTCCATCCATTCTTCTTTGGATACAGATCTCTCTATTCCCTACGGACGGGGCTGCTGCCCTCTCCCCCTCGCCCCTCTGTGACCCCACGCTTGTCTGTTCTGTCCTTTAACCCTAAACACCCTCAACTGTGCACCCCCACAAGCCAAGTACGCCCCTAGTGGCCAGATTCTGGCTCCTGTTTTTCCCAATATCAGTGTCGCTGAAGTCCGTCATGGTTGCCCACCTGATGTGCGATGCCTCTGTGACGGCGGACTACTGCAGCTGTGTGGTGTACGCGGCAGTATTCATCAATGGTGGAGAAATGACCCAATCGTTCAGTTATGTTCAGTAACCACAGCAGGACGGTGGCGGTGGCGGCGGCGGTTTGTGCTCAGAGCAGAGGAGCGGATTGATGCACTCTTGGAAAATGTCTCCTCTCCCGGGGAAGCTGGCATCTAGGCAGTAGTGGTGAGCTTCTGGATGGTACGGTTGTAGTATTGAGTGGTGAGAGCCTCCAGGGGGCTCCAGTGGTGCGCATGCAGTTCAATGACCTCCATAAGGAGGGAGCGGGTCAGCTGGGATTCAGCCGGACAGAGCATCTTGTCTCTGACGGCCGCTAGCAGCTCGGTCATCATCTCTGGGAGCTGCTCCTCCAGGAGGCGCCCGGTGCTCTGCAACTGTGGAGGAGGAAGAAGTGAGGAGGAGGAGGAGGCGGCGGGTTAGAGGAACCGTGTGGGTTTTTTTTCTCTGAACAATAAACACTGTGTCTGGATCTTTGATGCTGTAGCTACAATCAGACGGCTGAGGTCGACTGATCTGCTGTCAGACTGTTGACCAATCACAGCTCAGGAGAGTTGACTCCCGTTCATATTCAATCCTCTCCACTGGTAAAGTCTGAACACAGAGATGTTAATGCAGGCACGGGCAAACTAAGGCCCGGGGGCCGGATGCGGCCCGTCCAGCTTTTTAATCCGACCCACCAAACTTTTCCATATTATATAATTCATTTCTATTATCATTATACTTCTGCGTTTTCCCTGCAATACCCACGTTTCCCCAGTAGATGGCGTAGAAAATAATAAAAGCATTTTAGCCTTTATGCCTGACTTTTACGTCATTTATCTTAGTTCACACTAACGCTATCTGCTCCTATTTAAAATAGTCATAGGTGAGGGAACGCATAACCGAGTGCTCACAAACACACAAAACCCTCTCTGTACGTATCTGTGTGGGCTTTCGTACCCTGTAGTCGCTTGATGTGACATAGAAGATAGGGAGGAAGGCCAGCCAAATTATACAGGTCGTGTACATGGTGAATCCAATGAACTTAGCCTCGTTGAAGTTCTCTGGGCACTTCCTAGTCTTGAAGGCATACCTAAAGAAGTAAATGACAGAACACATTAGATTAAAAAAAACACACACATACACACTACCTAAA